CGACTTTTCCTATAGACAAAGCGTTTTTGCATCAGAAACGATCAGCCTGATTCTTGGAGTTACAGCACTTTTGTGAAGTTTTTGTAAGTGCTCGAGAACTTTTTTTGTGAGAAATATTATGGGATGTATTTGGAGGCAGAGATTTTTTGATGAATTTTTGAAAAGCACTCATTGTCTTCTTTGAAGAGTATTATAAGAATTCAAAGCCTTTAATTTTCTCAAGAAATGTTCACATCCTTCACCCCCTCCTATACTAGTCCCACACATCAGCATCAGCACATGGCGCGCATCATCAACCTGGGCGAGTTCTGCCCCGGCAGTGGACGCGGTCGGCCGTGCCTCGTCTGTCCCTCGTCGCACTCCGTCGCAACCTCTCTTTGTATGATCCTGTGTGGTTTTCTGTCTACGATCGCGCATAATTACGCCGCGTTTCAAGGTCGCTCGTACCAACAATGCCCAGCCGTGCACTCTTCACCTTCGCTATTCAATAATCGACTCTCCACCCTATCCACGACCAGCAGCTCCGCTACCGTAACCTCCGCGCCACCACCGCCGCCGCCGCCGCCGCAGATGACGATGATGAGAGGCCCCTCACCCGTTCCTCCTCATTCACGCACCGGCCATTCCACAACTGCCACCGCAGACAATAATTTCGCTTATCCTTGGACCTTTGCGTATGCACTTTGCAAGTCTGCGCAGCTCCGGGGGGTCCCCTAGATTAAGGGCTTGTGTACGATCATTACACTCAAGTCGCTGAAAGAGATGCTACTCGAAATCATTTTACGACGAACCTACAGCGTACAAATCAGTCACATGTTTCCTCCGGTAAACCCACTCACTCACCTCATAGAACCCGGGTCTGGCATTGCAGAAGCTGCAAGCTGTTTTTAGGCTTCGAGGCCAACAAAAGCTTTAAAATGTGATCCCGATGGGAACAGATCTGCCACCGAATCTCTATAACACACCAAAACTAAAAACTCGACACAATGCCTAGGTTCCAAAAAATCAAAACGTGAAGATGATAAGAGTACGAATTCTGCTCGCATCCCTTAATTTACTCCAGCGACGCAAAATCCATAAACAAAATATTTTGCACAATAACGAGGAGCTGAACTATGCACGTGACACTTATGGTAAGAAAAAATGCTCTAGTAAATCTAAGTTTTTGCTAAGATTAGTCGGCTTTGCTCTTACAACTGGAAATCTTTGTTGTAGTTCGGAACTTAGCTTAGTAAATTAGGCAAATTGGCGGTGAAACATTAGTCTATCAAAATTCGCAGAACATTAAAAGTTGCGGGATGATGATCAGCAGCGGTTATATTTTTGGGACAGCCAAAAATTTTGTTTTGAGATCGCTCATTCTAGGAAACGAGCAAGTAATTTTCATATCTTCCATGTTCTCTCTTCTCTAAACCTTGGCATTCGGGAATGAATTAGTTATTGTTATATGATATTAAGCCAGTGCCAGGTTTGTACGATGGAATTCTTTATTGGCCTCCTTAAATTGTCGAAACGTAAGGCCAATAAAGAATTCCACCGTACAAACCTGGTACTGGCTTAATATCATAAAACAATTTCTCATATCTTCCTTTCAACAGCTGGGCGATTAAACAATGTTATACCTAAAGCTTCAGAACGAACCTTTAAATGCATTTTCGCAAGGCTAAAAAGGAAACTATTCTTATAGGAAGAAACTACAATAAAAAATTCCTTTCTACATACTGTATGAATTCCGAAGACTAATTGTGTGCTCAACTTTCTTCCTTTCTATGGTCGCAAAGGCTTGCGGATCCTCCTCTGAAATTATAAACTCTATAAACAGAGCTACTATCGCAGGTTTAAAAAAGCCTTTAATTAGATTGGTAAGAAACTTGGTGAAAAAATCCCTCTCTTCAGTACTCTGTGATTCTAAATTCCGTTGATTATTCGCTATTCAGAAGTCTTTTAAGGTGTGACTTCATGGTCGCAAAAGCTTACGGATCCTTCAGATCAAAATTTCGAACTCTATAACCAGAGCCATTACCTCAGCGAAGACATGTCCTTTGCCGAGAGCGCGATTCCATCGTCAACGATGATGCCGACAATGTTCGTTGCTTGTTTTGAGTGCAGTTTCCATGCATTACACTCGCGATCGAGTGGAGGAGATAAAATCAAAAACAGAGAGCGATGCTGTCTCAGCGATTGCAGGACCCAACGTGGCAGCCGACGCGCGATTCTGCTCGTCGCGCACCACCGCGAACGTCTTTCTTCAGGGCCGATAAGCACATCAAATGGGGCCACTTCTTTGCCAGAGAATTTATGCCCTTGTTTCGTTTTTGAGAGCTCGTCGTCATCGACGCCCGGGAAGTGCTCCAACCAGCACACGACGACACATACATGGTCGTATTTGGTTTCGGCACATGTCTCTGTTGACTTTCTGCTTCGATTCAGATCGATTGCCATTGTTGATTCGTTCGACATCGGCCATAAGAGGGGTGCAGCGAGACTGTGACAATTCCGAGAAGGTTGCCGACATGCTATTGTGTTCGTGTGTTCTCGTTCAGTCGCACCTGGCAGGATGCTGCGGACCGAAAATATGCATTTTTGGGCATAGCCTGGCTGTACAATTTGTTTGCGATATGGTAGAGTTGTATCACACAAGGAAGAGTCGATTAGCTTAATATTACTCAGGTGAACAGTGAAAATGCCTAGGTAAAAAGCAGATGAGATGATGGAATTCAGAACTTGGCTTAGAATTGATCTAAGGAAGAAATAAAAAATCACTGGGTTCTTATAATTCCAAAGACTTATAAATCTACTCGCTCAACACGAAAAAAAAGAGAAATATACCTTAACCAGGTATCTACATTCATAAAAACAGCCATTGTGTGTCATCTTCTGCTAAGTCAAAACTAAGCAAGGTCTTCAGTTGTTAAAAACAGACAAACATGCAATGAAAAGGTTTTACTTTTGGTGAATGAAGGAAGGAATGTGGCAGTTACGAGTGGAAATAATTAAATTATCTCATGTTATATTTCGTATGGTTCAAAATTCGATTAGTACAGTAAAAATTGTCAAACAAAAGGCTTTCGAAGGCCGGGAAAGAGGGACCTAGAGAGCAGGGGAAAGATGAGACTGGCTCTACCCACCAACGACGACGAGCCCGGTATGGAACCGATGGATGCACGGCTCTGAGCACAACCGTGAATTCATGCAGTGCCATTGCGGGACTTCGCGCCTCCTCCCACACCTGCGGAACGTTCGCGATAAAACTGTAGGGGCGAACACCATCAGCAGCCGAATATCGAACTCGCTCCAGCGCCACACGCACAGGTGAGTCACTCAGTAACACCGGGCAAAAGAGTGGTGAACAGTCAAAACCACTTACCGGGCAGTTAATAAATCGGGTTCCCTGGGAAATCAATTCCGAGGTTGGCGCGGACGCCGATTACGGCTGGGCCTAGCTCTGGTAGTAATGGGGTCTAGCTGGTCGTCTGTGTGTCGTTAATGCCACCCTCACACGAATCTGCGAAGAGCAGACGGGAGTTCTACTGTCAGTCGGTGACGGAGCGCGGAACACAGAAACGGTTCGAATGGACAGGTAGGAGGAGGCGGGGAGCATACTCTCTCTGTGGGGGAGAGACCTTGGGACCGCCCACACTTCACACGCATACGCACATGCGCATCGACGGAGCAGAGCTACAGTGCTGGACAGGACCGGGCAGGGCTGGGGGCGGGGAATGGAGGGGGTGGGCTGTTCCTGCAGAACTTTCCAGTCACAGTTACGACTACTGCAAAAGCTTATAGACGATTTCGTACTCCAAAGCCTTACTTCTCCTCCCCCCCGCTATTACGTCCAAGAAGACAATTCAGTCTAAGAAAAAGATCCATACTTCATTTTACGGAGATTTTTTGCCACCCTTTCAGCTAATTCTAGAGCAAAAAAGAAAAACAGTTTAAATCGATGTTTAAACAAATTACCCAAGAATTAGGTTTATAGCTTCTCTGCGTCCTCTTTGCAGCCCTATAAAGATCTGATAAAAACCTACACAAAACTAGTGAGCGATATCTCTTCCTCTTTAAGAACGCTATCATTTTTGGAAGGGAAAACAATAATCTCCCGCAGACCAGTCCAAGTACACAGTTTTGCTATAAGCTTGAAAATTCATTTGCTCTCACTTACAGCGTGAAATCCGCAATTAAGAAAAAGAGATTAAATTAAGAAAATTTGGATATCACTGAAAAAAGTCTTTTTCAAGTCATGTGACTACGAGATATTTGGACATCTTGATCTATCCTTGTAAAGTATACACATCACCAATTAATCAAGCTTTAGATCTTATTCAAAATTACGCATAAACATATTGTAATTATTCTCCTCAGTTGGATAATATGGCAACTTTTTTGAGTTATGATAAAAGCAGTCCATCATAATGGTATTTTAGTTGCTTAATTTCTGCAATGAAAAATTTCGTAGATCATAGTAACATGGTCCACTGAGATTCACCACACTCATTACCCAAATCTCCAAAAAAATTTTTTTTGATTTTAAAACACGTGAAATATGAGCTAACTGAGGTAAAAGATTCATATAAGATTGCACAAGCTTAATAGCAGTAATGCATGTGAGTTTATAGAGTCTAGCCTAACTCCACTATTTTGCGAGAAAAAACATCAACTCACCTCACTAATCTTCATGGAACCACCGCCTTTGACAGGATACGATAAGTAAGCGAAACTTCTAGAACGTACAGCTAGCGTAAGGATCAGTTGACGAAGTGATGAGAATATCACGAAAGGGGGGAGGAGTGACAATAAAGTTGAGTGCTAGGATGAGGCTTCGTGTCGAGATGATCAGCTCTCAACTAAGCGGATAGCATCGGAATCGATAGGATAAGATTAGAGCCGTGTTGGCTTCCTTCCGGAGAGATGAGGAGTCCACCAGCACCGCCTCTGCACACCTTACATGGCTTTTCCCAGCCTACGATTGAGATTTTGCAGGCAGCAATATGAGCACCAAAATGCTTTTTTACTTTTATTCACAGATCATCTCTATCAAATTTTCACACAAAAACTGTACAAAATTCTACAACATAGTTATAAAAATTAGAAATCTCTAAAAAAATATCAAAAATGACATATACAAATGAGTTCGAGCTGAAAATAAAAAAGGCACTAGGATCTATTACTTCTCATATGCGCCTTGACGACATTGAATAAAACGAGCTAGAATGATATACAGAGGAGAGGAAGAAACCATGCTAAACATCTCCCAGCAAACTTGGGGCCACACAGCTAGAATCTTCACTTCACACTTAACCTGCTCAATTGTAGAGCAACCCAGGTGAATTGACGGGAAAAGAACAGATCTGTGAAGAGTTCAAACCATGTAGGCTACTTCTAGCGGCTCATATGTACACATCAGGCACAGTGCAAAAAAACTCGATAGCCCGTATTTGGCCGTGCAAATCTGAGGGTAAAAAACGCAATACACTAGAGAGAAGAGAATACACGATTTGTCTATAGAACTTAGTAACGTCGCTTGGTCTAGCCTGAAATTGAAAATTTGCATTTGAAAAAAAGAAAGCTTCGATTTCTGCCAAACCTTGACGTAGTACAGCTGACATTGGCCAAGCACTCAGAAGAAGAAATCGTGCAGAAGGCTAGTACGTTTGTGTTCAGCGCGATGCATATGAGCTTCAAGGGATCCTCTAGCCGTCGAGTCAGCTCGTTCAACTGCCCAAGCTAATTCTTCAACTTCTTTCTCCAGTTGCGCTTGTTGATATTCAAACTGTAATGATGATGCTTTCAACATATATTCGAATAAAAAACAATGATGTACAATGAGATCAGTGCAGGTCACCGGAATGAATGTTCCCATATTCTATTGCATGATTGCCAGAATAAACTACATTTTTTTCCTTTGGATAATTGTATGCAGCGTTGAGGTCATGTGGCGCAGTGCCGTGGCGAGGACAATTGAGGGGCTATGGAAAATGTCACCAAGCGAATTATATCCGCAACGATGCGCACAGTAAAGATTTCTGGGCCTAGTGCTATTCGAATGGTCTCTGACGCAAAAAGTGCCCTCAAATTGTTATGAAGAACGCGAGCATTTTATATTAGTTCGTATTCCAACACTAAAGTGCTTTTGAGATTGAAGGTTTCTCTGCTAAGCAAAGTTTTACTTGAAAAAAGAAATGAGAAAACATATGTGGACGTCCGTGACTTTGGTGCCTTTGGAAATAGGTCTCGATTAGCAGCGCACCTGCTTTTTCTTCACCAAGTCTTTACATGGACTTTTCTGAATTCTCTTGCCAACCTCCTAATTCTACCAGAAGGATTCCAAAGAAGTCCAAAAAGACTAGATTTAGAGAAAAGATGAGCACGTGCGCTGCTAATTAAGACATGATCACTAAAATCGTGCACATCCACATCCAACACAATCTCCATAGCAACGATTTCTACAGATCATCAAAAGATGAGCTGTTCTAAGCGGAGTGCGCAACATAATGAAAAGAACCTCCGACAACTCTCCAAAGATGTCACTACCGCGCTACCGTACTCGCGTGCTGCTGCTAGTCATGGTAGCGAAAGAGAACTAATCATGTAATGGGGTGATAGCGGCGCTGGATTAGCGACGATTATCGGCCGCTCGTATGGATTATCCCATGATGGTGGAACCCAACAGGTATGAGCGCCGTCGTGCTATCCATCATAAACGGAGGGAAATGAGGCACACAGGGTCAGAGCCCCCCGATTATGCGGTCCAAATGAAGTTCAGATGCATTCTCTCTTCAGTACGGGGGGATCAGCAACCTGATTGCGCGAAGCACTCTGGCTTCGAGGATTCGACCGAATGCAGAAACCGGCCTGCGCGATTCGCGGTCGCGTGCAATGTGCACCAAGATGAACGCGATAAAATCGCTTTTTGATCATGTCGCAACCATTAATTTCGCGCGAACATCGTCACACTAGCGTACGTCTCAGGACGAACACCAAACACAATTTTACTTACCTCTGGCACTGGGATCATTTCTCATTTACGATGCAACGGTGATAGCTCATGATTCAAGGAAAAAGTATAAGGAAGTGAAAATATTATACATGAATGGCTTCACCTTCCCTAATACAACATGCAAAAGAAGACCTCAAGCAAATTCTAGTCGGTAATCGCGGTGCAACAAACTCCCCAGGCGACTGAGAATGCTACACTGGCTGACTCGGTAGAACAAGGACTTAAAATATTGTGATAAATGGACCTCTTCTTTTCTTTTGCTTTTGAGTTGCAGCGCTTTTCTTTTTTGCTTGCAAGAAAGACTTCAGATAAAAGGTAGTCCTTCAACCTTTGCTTCTCCTATCCCGATTCTACTCCAGGGTCAGCGCGAAGCTTAAAATGCATATCAGGGGTGACATGGTGAGACTCATTGTAGCAGAGAGAAAGCAGAGTAAGCACATGATCAAAAAGAAAACGCAGAACCTCCAATCTGACTTCCTTCGCACACAAATTTCAGGAAACAGCACTCGAAAAAGAGAGGAAGTCCAGTTTCCTCTGCAATTCTTCAGAAGTTCAAGGCTTCAAGCGGCTAGCACGCTTTAGCCATGAAGTATAAGACACACTCCCAACTTCCATGCCTCCCAGATCACCCCTCCCCTTCATATATTCCACTCCTTATTTTCTGAAGACGATTTGAGTGCTTATCACCGCCCTAGCGTTACTCTGCAAAAACAACAATTTCCCGCTCTAGTATGCTCTCCGCGTAAGCAAGGATATTCAGAAATGTTTCCGAAATAAACAAAAGACTTGCTTAGTACGAAGAGGAATGATACAACACCCGAAATTGGTTCCTAGATGCGTCAAAAGGAGCGTGAGCTATGTATGATTGCGAAAAGACGTGGCAAACCTTCTGAGATTGGTGGCTTTCGAGCCACCTGAGGCGGCTCAGAGCAAATAAAGTCGTGTTTCACTGTCTTCACATACTTGTTTCATGCTTTTTTATAACTTTGATCTACATCCAGAACGCTACACGCTACAAACGCTTTCAACCTAACCAAACCCCATCCTCCGCGCCTAGTTCACCTCTCCAAAGATTTTGAATGGCGGCAACAAGCCTGCTCCAAGCTTGCAGTGGTGCGCGTCGGACACTACATGCTGCCAAGTCAGAGAATAGGTAGGTGCCAGAGTATGTAAGCGAATATTTTGTTCAGGTTGGGGTCGCGCAGAATTGACGTCACTTGGATCGACGCCAGCATGGTGAATGACGTCCATTCTGCGCGCCCAACCTGAACAAAATATTCGCTTACTCTGGCACCTACCATACCAACATCGTTAGATTTTTCATTGTCTGGTTGATGTGTTTTATTTGTTATTAATGTTCGATTCTATCATGAGTTCTTCCGCATAAAGATGTCGTATTTTAGTAGTCAAGGGGGACTTGGTTCCCAAAAAAATTGCCAGAGCCATGTGGTGCCGAGCCCTGGCCAGTTCTCATAATACATCTGATAGGTAAAGGCAACGGTCTCCAAAACCTTCAAGGCTATTCACTCTTCATCAGAGCGGTCCTTCTCTCCAAAGTTGGTGAAGGCTATTGCTCGTTAGGTTGCTTAGCAATCGTTCGTTTGAAAGGTGATTACGAAGCACTACAAAAATTTAGGATGCTGCTACCAGCGAAATCTTTGTAAGTAAATAACTGCCCTTACTACCACCATAACGACATCAGACTACTAACAAAGCAAATCAAATCTAAATATGCCAGCCAAAAAAGAGCAATTATCGAACTTTTATGCGCGAAGGAGTTGGTGAGCAAACACGCATGCAATTGCTGATGGAAATGCAAATACGGATCTGCTATATTCAAAGGTCAAAGCGTAGGATCCTCTTGTTTTGACCACAGAAAATATAAGGATACCCTACTGAAGTGTGCATTTCGTTATGAGCGCCCTGACATTTCAAAAAATCAACACTTTCAATTTTTTGATCACTGCCTTTCCAAACCACAGCCTTTTTCGCTTTGACAAACTTACGACCCACCCGTGGGTCGTACTCTCCGAAATGGTAGCCTTTTTAAAAAAATGCAAATATGTCTCCGAGAATTTCCCCAAAGGGGTTTTTCGAAGGCGCTGATTATCAACATACATATGATTTATACCACTTTTGGGCATTATGTGATAAGGTTACGGTAGTCATTCTGTGAGAAACCAACATCATGGAATTTCATGAAAATTTGTTTTGGGGTTGTTTCACGTGCTGGTCACGTTTATAGTGTGCATTTGTGCACTACTCCCGCAGTGAGGCTACGGTAGCAGTACGGTAGAATTTTCGTAAAAATCAAGAAACTGATGTAGGAAGGCGATTTTGGAACTGGAGACTATCATTTTCGTCTTCAGGATGCACAAAACCTAATGTAAACCCTGAGCTTCCCGAGATGAACAATGCAAACGATCAAAAAATCAATAAAATCGATGATTTTTAGTGAGCTAACATCAGTTTGTAGCCCGCCCCGTATTTCTCATGCATGTACACTTGAAATATCAGAAACAGCATCATTCTACGGAGCATTTGAGCTAAAGTCTGTTCCTCATTTCTACCTACCGGTATACCTATCATACATTACATTACAGTATCTCGAACCCGGACCACTCTGCCTGTAGCTTCGCTTAGATGCCGTCAATCATGTGCCAGAACCCGATAGAAGTCCATCGAATACTAGCAAAGCTAGATCTTCGGGAATCGTAGGACCCACCTGCGGGTCTACTTGTCCGAAATATCAGAACACGTACGACCTCGGGGTATATGTGTTAAGGATATTTAAGTGTCTCTGTTTCCTGCGCCTCACCATAATGTTGATTTTCTCACACTAAGGCCCGTATGCACGTACATACATCCCGACAGGGGAGGGGAGGGGATGTGAGAGGGAACGCGTCATGAATTGCTACTCTGAATATCTGTATCATTCTTTTTTATCTATGTTATAAAGGCTCTTATACCCTGATACTGGGTAGAGGACTTGGGTCACCAAAAGTGGTGGTCCTGTGCGCACATTTGCAACAAACCCCTTGCCTTCACCATCACTGCCTCATGCTAGCTGTCTGTGGGTGGAGCCTAGCGGCGACCTAATGTCCCCAACCCCCTGATACATGAGCACAATGGATGGCAGAACACTGCCATATAAGCTGAGATTTTCACTATGTCAAGTGATCAACTAGGGACCGCCAGGGGGGTCACCCCTTGGTTTCAAAGTGGTCTATCCTTCCAGGAAGTGGATGAGAAAGTCGTAAGGTTGTACTGAGGGTCTATTATGGCACAACAAGGCATGTTTTCGCCAATACGTATGGATTGTGCAGGTGGTGATTTTTCCGATGAACCTTAGCTCGCGAACAGCGGTTCGCCGAGAATTTTGGCATCCTAAAATTTCACTATTTCTACTGTAAACATGTTTGACAGTGTCATATCCTCGGCAATATATTACCGATGTAAAGACAGAGTTATTTCAATATCCCCCACCATTTTCCAAGAACTAAGGATTCTAGTAAAACTGCCGTCGAAATCTAACATCCAGTTCCAAAGTCCCTCTTACATGGAAGCAGAAAAATCACGCAGTTATGCATTTGCATTCTTATTTGGAGTGCATGATGCATTCCAAAAATAAACGAGTGTCTGAGCATTTCCGCTCCATATGTAAGTACAGCAGCGCAGCTGGAATTTAAAAAAAAAAAACCTCACCAACTGCTTCCGGGCTCCACTCTCCATGAAGTACGCAAATGGATAAGTGTATTGCAAAGTATAGCGACACTTTGTGAGCAATGTGGCTGCATTATGGAGGTACTGCCAGTCTATCCAGGTGCCATCATGATCATTAACCTGAATGCAAAGACTCAGAAAAAAGAGAACGACAACTAGTATGCAAACTGGTTGTATCAACATTGCAGCGGTGTGCAAAGAATTCGTGGTCTCACCTTTGCTTCAATTTTCCTCTGAATCTTGTCACGGAACTGCTGCTCCAGTTTGAGGGATTTGTTGTGGTTTTCGAAGCGCTCGTAGTAATGCAAGTACTTTTCAAGTGCTCGCCTGGCCTTTACGTGATTTGCTTCCGCTGCCACAGAAGGGTTTTCCTGCAAGCGGTATTTTGATGATTTTACCATACTTTTGACAATTAGATTCTGAAAGGGTGAGACAGCCTGTTAAATCTGCTAATGTCTTCACGCATGCTCGACCACTTCTGTGCTCAAAAGCATTGCACGTTACACTCACAAAGACCCACTAGATTACAGAAAATTTGGACTGCGGTTGGAAAGACTTATCGTGTACCCTTTGTGTCCACTGGCTTGGCGTCTGGAAGGCGGGGCTTCGTCACCTAATTACGGTTAGGTAATGATCAGAGAGCAGCACGCGGGAGAGATGCAGACTCTCCGTCGCGGGCGCGAGCGGCCTTAATTAGGTCACAAAGCTCCGCCTTCTAGCCGCCAAGCCTGTTGAATCATATGTTACATCAAATTCCAAGACCAAATGTCAAAGGACTGCTAACTGTTCTGAAAAGCACAGATACGGTATAGAAATTGCCAGAGAGATATGATATGATGAATAGAAAACACTTTTAGATGCAAAGACGAGTAACGTCCTGATGTTGGCATTAGAAGTGCGGCCTGAGATTCGGAAAGAAAGCGTAGCAAACACTTGGGAAAAGCTGGCTCTGTCGCCCAGTAGCAGTAGGAAACTTGGCGTGGGCCTTAAGTCTTGGCGCGAAGGTCCAAAAGCCACAAAAAAACTTAGTTAGCGTTAAAGAAGTAGTTTGACCTACAAGACGATGAAGGCAGGTAAGGACAAAACCTCGATAGGTGAAAATATGTCATCGGGCTTATTTCTTCTGTTGATTAACAATACTGAGAATTGGTTTTTCGAAAAGTCGTTTTTGTATCTGAATGTACCCCGCAAACGCTAAGAGAAAGAGTAGTCGTGAGGGGTACTTTTCCGTGGGTATATGTCAAGAGGCGCGAATTTTATTGCTAGGTGGACACCAATTAGCGCATTTTTGGTATTTTATGAAGTTCTGGACGCAATTTGAATTTCCAGCAAGATATGTATGATTGCCCCATGGGTTGCTTGGTCTTATTATTCTAAAACAGATTCAAACCATGAACGCTGAAGGTCAAAAACACGCGAAAATGCAACTAATCGCAATTCCGCAAATATTTCAATCAATTTTTCACCAAACGCCTTCAACATTCGTATATGGTAGCTTTGGGTAGTGACTAACAGCTAAGCTAAAACACTTTGTCTGATAACCTTGAAAAACTCTCTTAGCTCCAAACTGGACTGTTAAACTGATGAACTCTGGAGAATTCGCGCCTCTTGACCGTCTCCCCTTTTCCGTTATCCGGACCCAATTTTTCAAGACGTTTTCATAAGATATGAGCTTTAGTCTAGAAAATGTTTTTCAGATCCCGTGAGGATCGTCTCCCTGCCATGTGTTAGGATAAAAATTAACACGTTTAGGCTCAGTTCGACATGTTTTACACGTTTCTTTCAAAATTATTTCTGATGATGTACAAAAGCGTTTAGATAAAGAGATAAAATAAAAGCTGTTCGGCTTTCATCTGTAAAGGAGAACAATAAAGGTTTATTAAAACAACAGCTTGGTCGCTTTTAGCAATGATCTGAAGATATCTACTCTCTAATTTGTTTCCACTATGCGAATTCAACCAGGAAAAAATATAAATTATGCTTGGAGTACCTGGCTGCTCCTTGTTTCGCCGCTCAGATGATTAAACAATACCCCACTGGTTTGTTTTAGGCAACCCAAGGTGTTCGTTGAACATAGGATAAAATTCTCACGATGTGGTGTTCATTTTGAGATCTTTGAATATAAATGATTGAAAAACAAATCGCGGACTACAGTTTTAGGGGCTAAATAAACTTTTGGTGAAATCTGTTAGACATGTGTATGACATGTCAGTTTTTAATTAGCACGTGACAGGAGGTTGACACTCATTCCTCTGAAGTTATGACCAAATTTGGCATAAGGAAAGACGCAAGAACCTTTTGTGATAAAATGGGTCCGGGTAACGGAAAATAAGACGTGAGGTCCTACGTCTTGACCGCATGCTTACTCTGACTTGCTGTTTGAAATCCATGGCATAAAGGGAAAGCCCACAAGAAGTGCCCACGTTGTAGCTTCTGGAGCGCTTTTCACGCTTCAGAATTAAATTGGTGCAATGCCATTTGGGCAGTACATTATCGGGGTGGACGCTATTGCAATCATCTTCCCGTTATCGTCATGACTGCCCGTACACTATCTCTGAACACCGCTCTGTTCTCAGCTGTAATCGTACAAGACTGCTAATTCAAAACGTTTGGCAAGCCGGTTCGAAAGTAATGCTTCAAAATGTCATGGACCTAACAGTTCATCCACGCTATCAAGTCTCTATGATGTTCTGCCTCCTCCACAAAAGAAAGTCGCTGAAGACGACGCATATTACTGACAATGATTAACATGATGACAAAAATCTTTGAATCCCAGACTTGAGTTCATGTAAGTTCGAAGAAGATGACCTCATGAAGTCTTCACTGGGAATAAGCCACGAAAATGAGTGACCCGCACGGAAAAAAGAAAGATGATTAAGTTGAGATGTGACATACCTTATATCTGCTACACTCGTAATATTCACTGCCATGCGTTTTCCAGTCTGAAAGTAACAACCGAATCATTGTTTTCCAGATTTCAGAGACTCTAGCATACATCCTTTCCAGCGTTTTTCTCCCAAAAAAATGGTCAACAAATTCAGGATAAATAAGTTACAGATTATAATCCATCTAGCATTTCTTCCCATTCAGCACTATCCTTCGAGAAAAATAGATCACTTCGACAGCTACGTCGTATAAGTCAAATTTTCGCTTCATTTTATCAAAGAACATAAATGAAAACCATATACCTACCAGCTGATTGAATATATGCCCTTAGGGGTACTCGGAGCATAAAGATTATAAACTCAAGCAAAAGAAATAAGCTTGCGATTTATTGATGGGCTGTCATGATTCTAGAACTGGGACACCCACAAGGATGTAAATTATGGCGACATCATAACGTCTCATTCATTGAAGTGTAAGTGTGTGGCATGGATTTAGGACCGCTAGGAGCGGATATCGAACTCATCAATTCTCCTCGACTTCTACTCGAAAAATAGGACAAGTAAGGTAGGTGCCAGAGTAAATAAGCGAATATTTGTTCAAGTTGAGGTCCGGCGCAGAATTGACGTCTCTCACCATGCTGGCGTCAATCCAAGTGACGTCAATTCTGCGCGGGACCCCAACTTGAACAAAATGTTCGCTTACACTGGCACCTACCTAAGAACGCAGGTCTGATGTGTTAGACCAGACAAAGATAAATATGGCTTCGTTAAACACAAACAGATTTTTCCATCCCCTTCACGAAGATCAAATCCGTTTTGCTTACAACGGAAATAAACAAAAACTCTGGAAAGAATATGTGCTGAACTTTTCAAAGAAGAAAACAGGGATGGAAGCTTTCCTTTCTAATCATACAAAACAACCAGAAATCGTTCCTCCAATCACATTACCATACTTTAATCTCAGCCCTTTGCTGACAGTTTTCGATTTGATTTAGAAAAAACACCACCATTATCAGGGTCACTCTGTTTTTGAAGCACACTGTAGAGCAACATACCTCCAAAACACATCCAACAAAAGTGATGCTTGCATTTGGCACATTGCATGTGATTACATCCGCCATTCTTCTCGATGCATGAGTGACACTGAGGACAGTCTTTGGTGTGGGCACTAAAAGAGATAACATCATTTAAGCTTTCCAAAAACGGCACTTCCTATTCTGTCAAAAAAAAACTGGTCAGATTCTTATATTGTTGCTCGGAAAAGATCTGAAACCCAGGAAGACACAACTCATGCAAGATAATCCACGTCTAACAATTTTGTCTTGAGAATTTTCTGCATCGCGTTTACGGGAGGATATCAGTGATTATATACTGCGCTGACTAAAACGAGTCCATTACATAGAATCCCCTGCTGGATATGATTTTATCCAAAAAATTGTTGCTTGTTGAAAAAACTAAAAAAGAAATCTAAGAATCTGACCGCTTGCAACAAATAAGGGCACTTTGAGGACGTTTGCCTTTAGATCGCAAAATCTTAAAAAGTGGTCTAAGCAAGTCGAGATTATGCAAACAGCTTTTTTGTGGATGATTTCAGAAACTCTGAAGAGGGGGCTGGCGAAATCAAGGTGGCTGGTCACTACAGATGCGTATCATCATAAAAAGCTTGAACAGCTGATTAAAAATTTGCCTTTCATATCTGTTAAACGCTTCTGTGAGGGAAGGACCTTCATTAGCAGGAAATTTGCAAGGCTGAAAGTAGCGAATCACGAACACTAACGGCATTTTGGACTAAAACCTACTTGGAACAGCTTAACCATGCTTGAGTGACTCTGACATTTTTCAGATGGTATCTTGTAGCGCAACCAGCAATTGGAACGATTACCATTATGTAATCACTGACACGCAAACTTGAAAATAAAACGCTCGTAACTTCATCCCCAAAAGCGTTCTGCAGATACGGAAGGAAGATTTGCAATGAGCGCTCTAAACTCTTCGTAAGCGCTTTCAGCCCTTCGTGATGGTTTGTAACCTGTGAAATCGGCCACTTCGACTTCGCGACCCTTCCTTGTAAGCAACCTTGTGCTATAGGTTCGATGAAAAATTTGCACAAAGAAAATGGATAAAAAAAGTTCCTTTGGCCCATTCCAAAGACAAAATTTATTCATGCCCCTCGTGGCCTGTAGAGCGCATTTCTTACTTTCTGAAATATGTAGCAAGGTAAAAATTGCGGAAGCAAATTATTACACGCGTCTACTGACTGATTTAGAAGGTTACACAACTGTAAGCATTATTTTGTACAAAATGTACGATTCATCTGCCTATCTAAGAAGTTAAGCCAAAAGAACTCAGTGAAGAGACAAACACAACAATCACCTGATATAGTTGGCGGTCTCGCTGTCATCTGCACACTTCAGCAACCACTGCTTTATTGTTTCGCAGGAGGTCGGAGCATGGTAGTCTACACCACAAGCGACACTGCAAAATCATGTTATATGAAAAACAAACTGTATCTTAGCACTCAGCACAAGACGCTGAATGCTGAGACATTTGACTGTCAAGAAAGAATTTCTGAAAATTAATCAAATCTGAAAGTGGTCTACATGTTCATCGATTGTGCAAGCGACTTGTTCATATGTAAGTAACCAAAATGATTACTGAAAATATTGCTAGAACTAACTTCGTGAAAAAATTATTTTCCATGGGTGTGAATGAGGCCACACCTTTTTTGAATTTTGGCAGACGAAAGTCTTACAAGGCACCCCAAGAATTTTTTCCGAAAAGTTATGTCGCGACCATAGTCAAAAAAATCTCCGTCGCGCCTCCATTTCTTCAAATGAAAATCTGTCAGTATCGACTTTCCGTACCTGTGTAATCTAGCCTGTATAAACAAAAAATGCTTAGCTCATATAACAGTTTGGCAACTAAGCTTGTAAATTACTTGAATAACTTTTCTCTTTAGATATGACCCTTTTTTGATCTAGGTTGTTGTGGACTGCGAACGCGCAAACTGTTCAGTTTTGAGTACTCTAAAAACTTACGGAGGGTGTGGGAACGAACACCTCAATTAGGCCCCGCTTCCGCGGACCACTGATCCCAACACGATGCACAATAGTAAATTGAAAGGACCAGCAGCCCGCGGAGGCAATTCCTAACTGAGGCGTTCGTTCCTCTACCCACTTACGGATAAAGCCGTTGTCTGACTCAAATAAGTCCACCCTACTGATAGGTCCTTTTTCCACTGTAAACTAAATTAAAATTTTGTCAGAGTAAACCGGACTTATCTTCTGACGGATTTATCTGCGAGAGGCCCTATCTGCGAGATACAAGGGTAACATTGTGTAAGAATGTAAGAACTGCAAGGCCGTTTGGAGCCTCATACAAACGTATAAAAGAAAATGACTTGTCAAAGGTCGCTCCAGCAATAAGTTTTGGAAAACTGATTGCAAAACGGTTTCTTTTTTTTCGACTCAGTTAAATTTTGAACTTGACTATACAAAACAAAAAGACACATTCAAGAAAAAATAATGTAACAATCTGACTTGCAATTTGTTGCCCACCTAATACTTCGAAGAAACCACTTCTCCGCATGATTGGAATCACACGGTATGGCACGCCACTTTTCTACCCCACTCTGTGACTACGATGACAAAAAGAACAAAGCACATGCTAGTGTGGGTCGAGGTAGTTTCTTGCATGACTTTGTGCAAGATGACTAACAACGAGAGGTGCTTCATAAATAGAGCTCGAAAGATTCGATTACAGCATATGCATATACAAATCAAAAAATCTTAGTCTGCTTGTTTCATCACAAGATCAGAACAGCTGCGAGGCGTCATTCTCACTTTGCTATCACGCCGGCAAACTATGCTAAGCGCGACGAATCATAACATGGAAATCATACATTATCTTTGTTGAAAAAAGTACTATTGCACTAAAGGATTTCATAGCAGAAAAACTAAGAGACGTATTCTTCGGTCGTAGAAGATTTCCAAAGATTGGAAATTATTATGAATTCTTTCTTTTAAAAAGGATACACGAGATGTGTCGAATTTGAGATGAGGGCAAAAAAGAAAAGTAAACACCATGCTCTGCATTGAGATATTACTATAAAATAAGAAAAATAGAGTGGACAGAAAGGAAACAGTTTCTGACAAGAACAGAGGTGTAATAAACACCAGTATATACGAAGCCTAGAAAAAACCATGAAAGAACAACAGCTTTTATCAACGCTGGAAATCGCTATCTACACGGTTTTGGAACAGTCAAAAAAGGCTGGTCAGTATGCAAAAAGAAAATAGCGAAATGAAATGAACCAACCAGAATGACGTGTTGCAGGTAGAACATGTGACCCTCTTGGGTTTCTTTTCCTTTGATCGTATGACAGTCTGGAATCAGGCAATCATCGTGCACACCTTGCTGAGAAATTCACCAACTTACTTGACAATCTTTTCCTACGCAAAACTTTAGTTCAGGATGAGAGCAAACATAATCGCGAAAGACAAACTTTTCGTACCTAAAAACAAAATAGACCAAATGCGACAAAGGAGATTTCTTCAATAAATTGTAGTTGGAATACCTTGCTCGATACTGCGGCTTGTCCAGTATTCGAAGAACGAACTCGCTAGGACAAAGTAAACTACAGTTGGGATCCATGCATTCCAGACGAGAAGCAACTCCTTCAGAAATTCTGGAACATAAATCACGTAGCGACGATATGCAAAAAGGTAAAGTGTAAACTTACTTGGCCTCTATATGCAAACGCCAACAGACAGCGCAAAATGCGTGACCACAAGATAAGGCACGCATATCCAAAATACCTTTCTCAGCACATACGGCACAGTATGAAAGACCAGATTTTGACCGCGAAACAGTAGCTGATCCTGGCGGCAAGATACCGCTTTTACGAAGAGTACCCATTTCATCGTTTGCCAGAAGAGACGCAACCTAGAACAACTATGAATAGCGAAATGAAAGCAGTGTATATCTGAGTTATCTAGACGAATATAGCTAGCGTAGAGCGTAACGAACTAGTAATGTGATTTTGGCAATCATGGGTTCGCATAACAAACTCAGTGTCTTCTTAACTTCAGGTTTATGATGATTTTCAGAAAAAGGAAGCTCAGTGAGGAACTTGGCAAAAGCGAAGAAGACAAGACTCCTAACCAGACCACTGGCTCACCTTATTCACGTCCCAGCCATTGGCATGCAATAACATACGAGCTAGCGAAGGTGAGATTGCTGCTTTTTCAGCCAATGAGGCAACACTTTCATTTAGCACACGTTCAACCTGAAAGGTGTTCGAGTATAACAGAGCTGGCAAAATCACACGACTACAAACGATATCCTACCTGGAAAAAATTAAGGCACTCAAATTCCGCATCTTCAGTCTCAGCCTTCTTCAGCTCTTCTTCATCGGGGTTCATATCAACATCGTAATCATTGTAATAGTCTGGAATGCCAAAATTTTGCAGACATGTGCTAGAAAAATAGCCACATGAAATACGTGAAATAAAAGATGGATCATTTCGGCCAGAAAATTAATGAACAATAACCGTTCCACAAATGATAATTTCCGGTGCCCATGCCCAAAAAACTTTGGAGAAACCATTTGAACTGAACATTATAAGCACAGACCATAAGTTCACTCAGTCAAAAGATAGCAATGTTTGATTAGCTTCTGATCGGTTAACTGTTTTTATGCGAAGCTGGTGTATGCACAGCTATCCCAAAAAAATCATTCAGGACGAAATGCGAAGGAAGAGAGTCTGATAGTCTTAAAATATAAAAATATGTGATAGCTACGATAGATGTTTATATCTCTATTTTACAGATGCTTTAGAATGGTCAATTCAGATATTTAGACAAACAACTAATTTTAATTAAAATCTTGTGACCTATGCTATTCAAGTGAGCGCGAAACATCACTTACGCTTTGCATGCGAAAGCAATCTCCAAATTTCAGGCTACATTTCACTCAAAAAAATTGTAGAAAGAATAAATGCACTTAAGTACTCAAATAAAATAACGCTGTCTTGACAACCGCAAGCGTCAATTGTCTTGTAAGTGTGGTACGGTCACAACTATGGCACAAAAACCAGTAGATGACGAAAAGCAGACAGATAAAAAAAACAGGGCTTATTCACCAAAGAACTCAATCAAAATTTACGTAAGGGAAGCTATTAATGGCCATTTTTAACAATAAGATGGGTTGATTCTGTGCAAATTAAGCATCTGTGGTTAATTTCTATGTTTTAAACATGCTGTGCCGCTAATAGCGCCGCGCTACATTCTTATTCACTGTTAATTTCAGTTTTCGTTGATGGATAGCCACTGGATATTAAATGCTTCCCAATCTTGCGCGCTCTATTTCTTGTTTCTCAGACACATGTCTCCGTAAAATTGGGAAGATTGCTCACAACCACCTGATCGAGAAAAAAGGCAAAAAAAAAACAAGAGACGAACGGAAGAAAGCTCACCATCTATATCCTCGTCCGGCGAATCATACATGTCCTCGTCGTCCATTTTGGCTCCAGAAGATGCGTGGGCGAGCTGAGCAGGAAGTGGATCGGGCAGCACGCACTGCGCGCACTGCGCTCACTGAACGAGTGAAAATCGATACGCGGTGACGACAGCGCGCTGCTTGACGACGACGCTGGGAAACACGACGGCGGAACGGAACGCGCGAGACGCACGGACTGGCGCCGCCTGCTGGGCGCGTGGAACGGCGCCAGACACTTGCCTCTCTCACCTGCTGATTACGCTATCTTCGCTCAAAGGTTCGCTGATCGAGTTTAGCTCAAATGGTTCGCCGACCAATGTTCAACATGATTGCTTGATAAACAGCACTCTTTCGAAATGATAGTTCGTTACTGGAACTTTCGCTGTTAGTTCCATCATCATAGAGCGGTAAAAATCGCTCATGATCTGACCTCCTTTCCCCTGATCACTTCAAATGAAGCTGTGGCGTTAGTTAATCATCATCGTCTCAAGCAAACCAGAATTAGAGGAAGTCAAAACTCCAAATTAGTGAATGTTTCTGACCGCAAATAATGATGGCCCCAGTAGAGTAAGTTTCAAAATGCTGTTGTATTAGTTAGCATCATCCTAAGTTCGCTCCACACTAAGCGTTCTTCTGAGTTGACTCTAATCAAATTACTGCACTCATTATGCTCTTATTTCACTCAATCTCTTTGAAAGCGTCGTGTTTCTTCCACAAGGCTCCAGCCCAGGGCTCGGCACAAATCGTCTGGAAGCAGGCTAGACTTCGTTTTTGGAGCAAAAAGCAAAGGAGATATCGTTTTTGAAGAGTCGGTGCCGAGCACCAAGATTAATCGCCATTTAACCCTTTCGGACCTGGTGGTGGCAATTGCCACCATCAATTCAGAGATCTACTATACTGGCGCAAGAACATCATTTCACTACTCATTGCTCTCAAACGCTTCATATAGCCTTTGCCTTCCAAATGTAGCTTCGAGACCGGGTGTTCATTTGCTTCTCTGTGAATAGCATGTACATTTCTAACAAGTGGATTTCAACCAATCAATAATTTGCGCCGGCTTGAGCACCGTTTCAATATCTCGTTTATTAGCCAAAAAATATTCATAATATTATCATAATGTTTTAGTACGATGCTGAGCAAATGTAACTGTTAACTGTTTGCGGGTCCACATGTTACGCGGGAGATTTGAAAATCCAAAATAAACGCAAAACCAAAAATTGAAAAATCAAAAAGAAATAGTTCATAAGGTTAAGCAGACTCCAAACTCCGCTATAATGTTATTCATATGGTAATAAGTAAAAAACACTAGGAGAGAGGCTTCTCGGCTCACTCGCAAAAACTCAGGTCCGAAAGGGTTAAGCTGCGCATACTGATGCCGAAGTTCGGGAACAGTTCCAGAACAGCGCTCAGTTCGAGCGTGTGCTGGAACTATTACCGAAGTTTCAGATTAGTATGAACGCAGCCTTAAGGGCATTGTCCAGGTCAACTTGGGGGTGCTGGGATCTTGACACAGTGTGAGAGCACGGATCCTGACTAACGCAACAGTTCAAGTGCGATTGAAAAAGGTGGAATCTGAAGCGAGAAAATCGCTTCGGACGAGTTTGGAAAAAAGGGGGTGGTACTCCAATCCCGCCCCCTTGACAAGTTTTGACGTGGGAATGCTCAAGATCTAGTGTATTGGCCACGTCAAAACTTGTCAAAGGGGCGGGATTGGAGTACCGCCCACTTTTTTCCAAACTCGTCCGAAGCGATTTTCTCTTCAGATTCCACCTTTTTCAATCGCACTTGAACTGTTGCGTTAGTCAGGAGCCGTGCTCTCACACTGTGTCAAGATCCCAGTACCCCCCAGTTAACGTGGACAATGCCTTTAAAGGCAGTGGATCGGCAAAACTCAACTACTCAGAATTTTCACGCGGTAGATTCCTTAGCGCCTAAGTATGAAAACAGCGCAATCCTGGTTGCACAGCATGCCTTCCCTGCCGAGAAAATGGCTCTCGAACTTACACGCGCAGGCCAATCTTACACGCGTCCGGACGAGTTGGCAATTTCCTTCTCACCATTGGAGACTGCCCGCCGCAATTCTATAAGCATTGGGTCCTGCCACGATATAGCGTTATCAGCCTTGCTCCACTCGTCCAATTCGAAATTAAGGGCGTTGAAGAAAGCTCGTTTACGCCGTTTTCAAGCTCTCAGGAGTGGATTTTCGGGATCAGCGTATTGAATAACCCCAGGTAAGCAAAAATTTGATTAGGTTGAGATTTGCCGAGCCACTGCCTTTAAGCAAGCACAAGCTTTTCGACAGGCTATCACACGATTGACATGCTCTATCGTGTATGGCGAAATGCGCGATTTGAAAGCTAGGCTACAATAAACAAACTTGTTTATAGCGCACACAGAATCATATAACACCAAAATTGAACCGTATAACCTCGAGTCATTTGTATCTCAATATGTGAGACTGCACACCAAGCCCTATTAACGACGGCACCCATACTAATAATTTTCCAGTAAAACATTTTCTAGCCTAACAAAGTGTAGAAATGTGTTCTACTGACTGACATATAACCAACAAAAAGAAAAGAGACAAGGAAACAAGGAGCAATCCACTGGAAATGAGCAGGTTCTAGTTTTGTAGTTCGTCAGTTAGCATGTATAGTGTGCACTACGCATATTAAGTTACAAATGACTCGACGATACATAGAAAATTATTTGCAGAAGAATTATGTAAAAAGATGAAAACTTATGTGAAGTGTTACCTTTTCCAAAATTAGTCCGTCTCCAGACGGTTACCAGACGATCTGAGATCGTCTGGAGCATATATCTGTCACTTGACATAATTTTCGAATTACTCTATGATGGACGGATTCCCCAGTAAAAAATCTATTCCTGAGCATGAAGACATTTTCATATCATTGCCTTTCCTTTGTTTTTTACCTTAATTTCTTCATGAATCGCTTTGTCAAATATTGCGCTAAAATGCCAAATTCTTGTGCATGCGTAGCATTCACTCCAATTTGGATTTTCACTCCTTTCTCACATTTTTTCTTTCAGACTAAAAATCTTTCTTGTTTTCATCTTCTCCTAAATGGGTAGGTCAAAGAGGACAACTTCCAAAATCAGGGACTTCATTTCAAAGATATGTAAACATCACGGTGGTACATGACATAATCCTGCAGAAATTAATGTTGTTTGCTGAGAAGAGAGCGAAAGACATGAATGATTGGTTTTCAGATTCGTGTGGAGGCGGGTTGCGCACTTCCCTGATTATAAGGATAAAAAAGAGAGACTGCGAGAAACAATGCTGCTGGAGATGCAATAAGTTCATCCTGATATTCAGAAAAAATCCTCAACCCGCCTCCACGTGATTTAGGAGTTGATGAATATGAGCGGCATTTTGCGGCATTCAAGAATAAGCGATTGTGACTTCCACGCATCAAATTGCACGCATGTAAGGGCTATATATCTTCAATTGCTTTCGTCAACCAACGTTTCCTACCTACGCACACATTCCGACCACGCATGGCGAATAGGATGCCTACGTTTCATATTGCTGCTTACGAAAGCGCTCATTACTGCAGCCAAATCTTAGATGGCTTTGTTGAAGTGGCATGTCACGATCATTGACCGATAGGATCGTTTGACTATGCCTCAGTTTACAGCACGTCATCCTAGCAAAGACAGCTTAATGGCATTGACGGTTGATGTAGTGCTCCTGCGGTGACGACAACCTTTGCGCGAAAACGAAAAATATATTGGCTCACGGCACTGTTCACGCGCGACAACAAGCACTATAATGATAGTCAATAATGCTCTAATCACATATAATTGCTCAGAAACTTTCTTCAGTACTGCTGTGCCTGACAGGTTTGTTAGGTGTTCTTTATTCCAATCAAGGCCTAACGTTTCGACGCCTTTCGTCTTCCTCAGAGGCCTGAAAATGGCTCAAAGCGTCACCAGTGAAAAGAGTACATCAAGCACCATCCACATTACTGCTAGTTCTCGATCTTCGCTCAATATCCCTACCGCAAAAATTGTCAGCGCCAGAAAATGAACATACCGTTTAGAACACCTCTACGCCAGTTTCCGCACCGGAAGCGATGGTCTTGGCGGATGGACTGAACTAAACCATAAATACACATAGAATGTGATCTATAGATTGCATAACGATATGAATGGGAGGAAGTCGTTGGTGACTGACAAGCACTCATTACTATTGTTCATTGCTGGATTCTTTGCAGAAATCCAGAAGCTTCCAGCGTCTTTAGCCGAGGTTTCCTTCTCATGGGTTAAAATTTCGCATTTTATATCGAAATCGTCCCCACCATGCGCTTCGTTTCTATGCCTGCCCAACGGTGACAACAAAGTTTTACGCCTTTTGTCTGCCAGATGTTCGTTTATGCAAGTGCTAAGCGACCTTCCAGTTTCGCCAATATAGAGAGCATTGCAGCTAAGGCATTTCAGTTGTATACCACTCCCACATGTGCACAAGAAATAGGTGACAGTGCATAAGTGGGAGTGGTATATCAACCGAAATGCCTTAGCTGCAATGCTCTCTATATTGGCGAAACTGGAAGGTCGCTTAGTACTCGCATAAACGAACATCTGGCAGACAAAAGGCGTAAAACTTTGTTGTCACCGTTGGGCAGGCATAGAAACGAAGCGCATGGCGGGGACGATTTAGATATAAAATGCGAAATTTTAACCCATGAGAAGGAAACCTCGGCTAGGAATGCGCTGGAAACATTCTGGATTTCTGCAAAGAATCCAGCAATGAACAATAGTAATGAGTGCTTGTCAGTCACCAACGACTTCCTCCCATTCATATCGTTATGCAATCTATAGATCACATTCTATGTGTATTTATGGTTTAGTTCAGTCCATCCGCCAAGACCATCGCTTCCGGTGCGGAAACTGGCGTAGAGGTGTTCTAAACGGTATGTTCATTTTCTGGCGCTGACAATTTTTGCGGTAGGGATATTGAGCGAAGATCGAGAACTAGCAGGAATGTGGATGGTGCTTGATGGACTCTTTTCACTGGTGACGCTTTGAGCCATTTTCAGGCCTCTGAGGAAGACGAAAGGCGTCGAAACGTTAGGCCTTAATTGGAATAAAGAACACCTAACAAACCTGTCAGGCACAGCAGTATTGAAGAATATAAACGATGCCGAGGTTCAAGGAAGTGGAACTTTTAAATTGCTCAGAAACTGTTTGTCAAAGGTTCTGTGAATGTTACAGT